GTTCAGGCAGCCTTCCCACTGCCAACCTTGTTCCTCCTGCCTTGCATGTTCTTCCCAGAAATCCCACTATCACCAGTGTTACCCTTTCTTTTCCTTATTTTACCCATGCTCTCTTGCTTGCCTGCTATTCCTGTAAGCACAATTCCTGTTCCTGTAACACATAAATAAATGAAAATGAAATGGAATTAACAAGACAGGTACCTACCACACCTGCCTGTAGAAGTAAAGTACTTCTCCTTTTTGATGCTCCCCTCTAGTTCCATGCATTTGCCCTATACCCTTGTTACCTGATTTTCTTTACCTAATGAGGGAATTACATTTGCATAGTAGTGATGCTCCCCCAACTGGTTGGGCTGGCTCTTTGGCCAGAAATCAGAGTTGCTGTGCTACAAAGCTGCAACACCCACACAGAGGGGTTGGTCACTAACAACAATGAACTAGCAAAGTTGTAAAAGCACCAACATAGACAAAAGAACCACAAGAAGCGCTACCAAGAACCATGAAGACATCATGGTTGCTCTCACAATAGTGAGCAGAAAATAGTGTAATGTTTGCTATGGAATATTTAAGAAGGGAATAGTGTTTTACAGACCACAGGAAAAATCATTTCACATGTCCCATTAATTCTGCACTTGTTTAGTGGTCAAATCTTAATAACCTTGTTCAGATTTTACTTAGATTTAGTCCAACAGCATTACAGAAAATAGACAATGCTCCTAACCTCTTAGAAGAGATGGCAGAATTATTTTAAGTAAGATTCCATTTTGGTGTATTCCATTTCCCCTACTCAGAGACATGGTGGCAGAACAATTCAAGGGTTTGTGACTCCATAAGCATGAGTTCAAGCCCTCAGTCAGCTGAACTATAAGTGGGAACCTGATCATCTGGGGTTAAAAGGAGGAAGACATGATGTTACCCATACCATTATTTTGGATGCTATTGGATAGGAAATTGGCATACTTTAGCTATGGATTACTAGGTCAGGATGACCTTTAATCTTGACCTATCTCCTTTTATCTAAATGGACTGGAGGACTATTCATCTAACTGGACTGCAGGATTAAGACCTTATTTCATGAAGTGACGCTCTGCCCATGACATAGTCCAGCTCAAACATACTCCTAACCATTTTTCCATTACTTCTTCCTCATCTGTACAGAAACACAAACACGGCTGAAATGAGCCTAGTTTGAAGTACTTTGGACTATGAGGTTCACTCCCCATGCTAGATCTCTTTTATGGTTCCTAGCCATACTGCATAGACAATAGATAATAGAGCTTCAGCTATTTCTACACGGTAAAATATATATACAAAGGAACCCTCACTAGCTTTATCAATATTCTCTATCATAGGAAAATCTGCTACATGCCTGCTGCAAAACCCTGCCTCTGGGATTAATATGCATCTTTTCAAAGTTACATGCATTTGTCAGCCTGGACATAGGACACTTTGCACCAGTGTAACTTGCTTTTACATTAGTATAAGCAAGGAGGAGCAGGGGTGACTCCAGGGGGGTGGTGTAGGGCTGCAGTTGCACCCTTGTTTTGATTCTTGCTCCACCCAAACTTTCTTGAGAGGGGCAGCACATTTCTAATCAGCTAGTGCTGAAAGAGTCAATCAACTTCTATCATCTCCCTAATTCCTGTTAAACTCTCTCCACTCCACAGGTATTAATGACCCTTTCTCCTTTTTAAATGATCTTGATGTTTCACTATCCAAACTATCCATTCTTCTGTAATTTTGCCATCTGTTAGCCATTTCTAGTAATCTCTCTATTTTATTTTACAGCTCTGCAGACTCTTTTTAGTTCTAGCTAAAAATCTTAACTCAGATTTTGTAATATTAGCTCAGGTTAATGTCTAACAGGGTGTGTCTATATGAAACATACATTGCAGTAGCAATGAGCTATGGCGACGTAGCATCGGTGGGCACAAACCATGACGCCAAAGCTATGTCACTGTAGCGATGAGTGATCTCATTATACTGTGTTGTTATGACAACACATAGCTGCTAAAAGTAACTGTGTGCTGCCAGGATGGTGCAGTAATTGCTGTTCCTAAACCCAGTACTAAATGATGGCACAGTAACAACTATGCCGTGGGGGGCACATGTAGATGCACCCAATGTAAAGTATTGGTGACACTGTCAAGACACTCAAGAAGACTAGATTTTATTTTAATGAATCTGAATAAGAGAAATACACTTAACTAGAAGGACTACAGGACTGATGATACATTATCCAGTGACTTATTTTTTGTCTAGTTTGCTGTGGGTTTTTTTTTGCAAATTAGCGCACATTATAATAGTTATACTGTTTTGCTTTAATCTTAAACTCATTAACAAAGTGCTAGCCCCTTACCATATTAGTAAAGCTTCTCGTTTCATGTTAACTGGAAAAAATATGTGTAGTGTTATATATAATGATGCACCACACTACCTGCACCCCTCTTTTCCAATCAAGCTTCACCATAAAGAGGAGACATAGGATGTGTAGGTCTATAGGAGTGTGACTTATTTGATCCCACCAGTATAAATTATGATGGTGCTATGGGCCTTCCATCTTGGAGCAGACATTTGCTCAGTGCAAACAGGATGCTGCCAGTAATGAGTGGTGATGAAGTTACTGTTGTAACTACCCAGGAAGAGTTGGTTCTCTGTCTACTCTGGAGACTGGTATAGTGTATTTTGTTTTTCAGAACTGATATATCTTTCACCACTTATGTTAAGATGCTTTGAGCCTTTGTGGTTATTTCCATGTGAGTCTCAAACTGCACTGAAACTGTATAGTGGCCTTTTTTTAATGTAAAGATTTACTCTCTGGCTGCAGGGTAGGACCCAGAGAGTTCTCATGAATGGATCTGTGTTGTCCTGGTGCGAAGTGGCCGGTGGCATCCCTCAGGGGTCCGTGCTTGGACCGGTGCTTTTCAACATCTTTATCAATGATTTGGATGGGGGAGTGAAAAGCTCGCCGGCCAAGTTCATGGATGACACCGAGTTATGGGGCAGTCTGGTCATGTCAGAAGATAGGTTGCAAATATAGGCAGACTGGCTCGAGAGTTGGGCAGACGGGAACCAGATGAAGTTTAACACTTCCAAGTGTAAGGTGCTCCATCTGGGGCAAACAACCCTCAACATACATACAGGCTTGGTGGTGACAGCTTGACTCAGGCCACAGCTGAAAGGGACCTAGGGGTAATGGTTGACCATCACATGAATATGAGCTATCAGCGTGAGGCGGTGGCTGGCAGGACAAATAACATGCTGACAAGAATCAACTGATGCATCTCGTGTAAAACTAAGGAAGTGATACTCCTGCTGTACTCAGCACTGGTGAGACTGCAGTTGGAGTACTGCATCCAGTTCTGGGTGCTGCACTTCAATGAGGATGTGGAAAAGCTTGAGAGGGTCTAGAGAAAGGCAATCCATATAATCAGGGACTTGCAAGGCAAGCCATATGAGGAACGACTGAGGGACCTGGGCCTCTTTAGCCTAAAGAAGAGAATGTTCAAAGGAGACCTGATAGCAGCTTACTGCTATATCAGAAGTGTGCATCCGGAGCTCGGTGAACAACTATTCACTAGGGCACCCCTGGGGAAAATCAGGACCAATGGATACAAACTCCTGGAAGGCCGCTTCAGGCTTACTGAAGGAAAAACTCCTTCACAGTAGGGTGTCCAGACTGTGGAATAAATGCCCTCCAGAGGTGGTGCAATCACCTACCCTGGAGGTTTTCAAGAGGAGACTGGACAGTCACCTCACTGGGATCTCCTAACCCCTGTTGTCTTCCTGCCTAGAGGGAGGGGGGGCAGGGCTGGTCCCTTCCAGCCCCTAACAATCTATGAATCTACGAATGAATCTATGAAAATAGAGAACAACTGATACTACTTGAATCCATAGCATCTATGCAGAGTAAAGTCTACTTACCAGGCTCTTATGGATACAAATAGCACAAACATATATATGGGTATAAAATATAAAGCTGTCACTACTTTTAATTGTACTTGGATAGCAGGAACTAAAAGAGCCGCATGGTCTCATCTCTCTTAAATTAAGCTCCTGTAATGTATTAAAGCCATTTCTTGCCAGAAGTGCTATTATGAGCCCCTCACAGTCACCACAGAAGAGTTATACCCATAGGCTAAGTACAGACAGTAAAAAAACTTTAGGCTGAATCAATTCAGACTTCACAGGTTAGTTTAAACTGTGTAGATTGAACTGATAAGCAAATGAACAGTCATTCACTTTTGATTCCGGAAATGCAGCCACATGCCTGCAGTGGGTCAGGCTAGAAGCCAGGGGGTGTTAGAGCACACCTCCTTCCTTGGCTGGAGGAAACACCTTGGGCCAAGGCTGGCCTGCCCACCCTGCAAGCAAAAGTTTGTGGGGGAGGTGCAAAGCATCCTAAGATGCTGGGGGACTATGAATTAACTTGAATCTGGAGGGGAGAAAATTCAATAAACCAGTTTAACCTAAATCAGTGAAGTCTGATATTAAATCTATCCTGGTTTATCTTAAATCAGTTTTGGCTATTTTGAAAGTGGTTCATGTGAACTGAACTCTGTTTTGTTACAGATTTGAACTGGTTTCCAATCACTTATACTGGTTTATATGCAACTTCTGTCACTAGCCACAGTGATAGCCAATTATTACAACAGTAGTTAATTACAATCTTAAAGCAAGTAAAAAAAAAGAGTTGTGCTTCCAGTTCTAAGTGTTGTCTTAGTTTGGCTTGTTGTTTTAAGGACATGATGTTGAGGGGAAGGAGAACAGTTATAAAAACGTTTTCCAAAATGGAGACTTCTTTATTATTTGCATTTCATAACTCCCTTGGGTTGCTAGAGATTTACCGTGGTCAATTTTAGATCAAAACTGCTAAATGAAAGCTAAGTTCCTGGGTATAGTCTATCAAAATATTTAGGATGAAGTCAGAGAGGAACAGAACAATAAGGTGGTATATAAAAAAGGTTTCACTGCATATGTAAGAAATCCTTAGTACTTACAGCTGTCTTCTTCTTCAGTAATACATTTCACAACATAACAGGCATAGATGAAACCTGCCAGCTGAAACAAAATATGATAGCATTAGATATAAAGCTAATAAAGTGGGATAACAGAGTTGGTTAACAAAACAAAACAAAAAAAAAGCCAGAACAAACAAAGTTTTCCTTGGTCGTATTTGATCAGTAAAATGCAATTTTTGGGACAATACCTATTTTTACTAACAAGTGACTTTCTAGATTTTATGTTACTTTATTAAGAGTGTTCAAGAAATTATTTATTTTCTGCAGAAAATGTCAATGAAAATTTTAAAAAAAATTTTGCAAAAAAAAAAAAAAAATCTGTAAGTATAATCTTTTCTTAAAAGAAACCAAAACCACTGGGGGAAGTGAACATTGGCAACTCAAAATCTAGATGTTTAGTCAAAGTCTAATGTATCTGGATGAAACCCTATTTTTATGACTCCAAAAATCAGGAAGAAGGAAAAGAAATAAAACTTTGCAGTTTTCTCTAGTAAATAGCTCAATGAGCTTGAGAGTTAGCTGAGTACAGGTAGACTGCAGCACAGCAGCCTACTAACATGCTGCTTTGACCACAAGGAGTAGCAACATTAGCAGGAGCAACTCAAAAGTCAGTTTTATGTGAATGTTTGTATCAGTGGCTCATGCTTCAGCTGCATAAATGCATCTCGTTCTTTAGAGCTCCCTCCTAAGAACATGAACAAAATATTATCCTACATGGAAGCAATATCATTTGAAGAATGTTTATGTTTGTACTGAAAGACTAGGGTCATAGCAATTATTATAAAATACTATCCTACTGTGCATTACCCCAGACAGTAATGTCAAAAATAGTAGGTATTCCACATACCCTCCGCCAAATATGACATAAATCCTTTGTTGGCCCTTTTGCCAAGTCCTGCTTGCTGTCACTAGAAAATTAGACTCCAAATGAAAGCAAAAGTGACTGTAATTCTTTTTCAGCATATGATGTTTCTTATAAGCCTGCCCTTGGACTGTGGTGTCCTAAAGAGTTTTTCTTTATGCAGGGTAAACAGACCAGTCCTCTCACAGCATGGCCCTATCAGATTCCTACAAATCTGCGAATTCTGCTAAATACCTTGCCACAAGGACATGAAAAAGGAAAGGAGTAAGGTCTGTGAGGAGAAGGTAGAAAGTCATCTGAATCTGGATTCTTTAATTTCTTCATGCTGAAAAGAAATTTGGTCATGTTTTAAACAGCATTAGTGCAGGATGCTATTACTTTTGCATAGAAGAGATAAAACATACAAGCTAGAACTTAGATCTTTTAGGAGTGGCCCTCCCAATTGTGTAAAGGCTTGGAAATGAATATTTATTTGGCAAAGAGCTCCTTGTCAAGATATATTTTAACTAGCAAATAACTGCAAGGCTAGAAAAGTAAGGAAGGATTTGGGTAAGTCTGAAACACCATACAGTTATATAGTTTGGTTACTGCAAAACTTGATGAGTCAGATACAAATAGATTTTTCTGCATGTCTACAACTCACCATGGATTCTGGATTATTAATATTTGCTTTGAGACCTTTACAGCTCCTAATGCAATATGTATCTGTGAGATACACGAGTATCTATACATCTTCCTAGTGTGTCTCTGAGGTAGTGACTGTACTTTGTTGACTCTTTTGTAGGACATCACTGTCATTCCAGTCAGCTTTGGAATACCAGAATCCATCGCTGTAATGCAGAGGCAGGGGAGGAAACACTTTAAATCTTCTCAGGACAGAAGAAGGCTCTGTTTGGAGATCACTTGCTGCCAATGCAGATGTTGTTAATTGGCTGCTTAAATTCCTACTGGGAGCACAGAAACATCTATGGAGCCTGTGGTTCTGTTCTAAAACAGAGCCAAATAATTATTTCAGTCATTTACTTCAGCTCTGCCCTATAGCCCTGCTGGGGGGTTTTCACACCTGGGGTGAATGGAAATTCACTGTTGGACACAAAGAACCTAGTGCACCAAGAACAGTGGTATTTGGTTAACATCCACATTTCATCTCTGCTTTATTGGATAACTGTTTCCTTTGGCTTCTTGACTTCTTGACAGAGGACTAATTTACTCCACTGACGTACATCCTAAGCAACCCTGTTGACTTACGTGACATTACACTGGGTATAATTCAGCAAAAAATTAGGCCCCAAAAGGTTATTCATAAATGATTCCTTTCTTGAACGTGAACGTTGGCTTAATAGCTGCTCTGTTCTCTTTTTAACATATCATCAGATCCAACTTAGCTTATTAGTTGCATCTCTGGTAGACAATCACGTTAGTAATGACATTCTTACAATACAGTGCAGTATTTTACTTCTTGCTAAAAATGCCATAAGTTCATGTGTAGACAACTAAACTTCTCTTACAGAACACAGAAACATACTGTATAACAAATTGTGCTTACCACTGATCTTTTAATTGTATTCAGTTGCATCCCTTAAATATCTAGGGAATTCCTTTGATATATAAGTAAATCCTACAGCATTTCTTTAGCTGAACTTGCTGATTAAATGAGTGCTGTTAAGCTGGACATTGTTCTGCTCTAAATACAAATGGAACTTTGCTTCCCACAGGATAATAAGGATTCATAAAATAATGCCCCTCAATGTCTAGCCAAATTTTTTCTTTATGTATGTCTACACCCTTTTTTTAATTTCAACATTATGATGTTTATTTTCTTTTCTTATCTGTTCAGGTTCAGCCCTACATATTCAAGTTTTGTTTTCAAATCTGCTTTCAACAATAAAGGGCACACAGAAAGCTGAACCATAAAGCATTTGTATAGGATGTATGTTGACATAAATACATATGTATATATTCATTAGTAAAACTTTTCAAATACCAGGCAGAGATGGATTGTACTAAGTAAGCAGCTTTTAGTAACCATAATTGTTTTCAAATGGTTATTTGAAGTGTCTCTAAAAAAGTAAAGAATTCCTAGTGCAATGTGTCTGAATTTGTTGAATAGTGAATAAACTGACTGCCATTAACATTATAAGCTACTTGCCCACTCTCTATATTGGAAGACTGCATATTGTTGAAACATTAAATCAAGTTCATAATGCTGAATGGCCTGAGCCCAGGATATGTGAAAGGCTGCCTAAAGCTCTACAGTTAAAACTGTGGTTGCTACCTCCATGTTTCTGGAATAAACAGTTAGTGACATACCTGTACCTAACACAAGTATATTCCTATGTATGCACTAATGTATATGCATATGCGTGCCAAATGGCACATTTAGCAGATAAGGTTCTTTGGGTAAAACCCGTATCTTTTATTAGACCAGCTCAAATACAGCAGTTGGACAAATTCTTTTTTGCAAGCTTTTGGGTATAAACACCCTTCACCAAACACCTGTCATACAAACACCCTTCAGCTGCCTATGTCCTTAGACCAACACAGCTACTACCTTAGATGGCATATTGATGAATTCCAAAACAAAACACTGCACTATGCATACTTATCCCTGTGGAGTGATGAGAGAACAAACAAATAACAGATGTTAACCACACTGCTTAATGTACTACTGGAAAGTGCTCAGATAATATCATATCAGTATAAGACAGAACAGATCATATATACAGGCAGTATAGGATCATATATAGACGATCTCCTTTTGGATTCATTGTCTGTTGAGAAAATAAGAAAGGATGGACTGTGTTCTGAAGAATGAGGAAGAGAAGGACCTCACTATGTTTTAGATCAGTGGTGGCCAACCTGTATCAGGAAAGCCCACAAGTGGCATCGGCAGCTTCTGTGTGTGGCATGTGGCAAATTAGGGAGGGGGCAGTCAGTACAGTGGCAGATAGATAGTGCAGGGAGCAGTAAGCAAAACAGGAGGCTAAGTAGGGAAAAAGAAAGTAGAGCAGCAGATCAGGCATGGTAAGTGGATCAAAGTGGCCATCATGGAGGTGAAGGGCTTAATTTGCAACATGCCTGCCAAAAAAATTGTCCCCCATTGTTTTAAAGAGTGAATTTTAGATCAGAAAGGTTACCATAGGGAGTTGGTTTGCTTTGAGTGCATTCTTATAACCATAGAGTTTAGAAGACATGGGCCCTGAACAAAAGTTTAGATCCCCAGTTCCTCTGAAGTGAGCTGTTTGTATCTGTCCTATCCTCATGGAAATGCTGTGATTTAAACCTGTATAGGAGAAGGACTGAAAACCTCTATGGCTAGTAGGGACAGACATTCAAAAAGCCTGAGCCTGAATTGATTCAATCTTTGTAGGGTAGTCTAACTTGGCTAGGCTAAACTGGTTTGTAATTGTACAGACATTGCCTCTGGACTGAAGAAGTGCAGGCACATCCCTGCAGTGGCTCAGGCTAGAAGCCGGGAGGTGCTAGAGCAGCCCTCCCTTCCCTTCTAGAATGCTGAGCAGGGGGAGGGGTGACATGGCCAGGCCCTGGCAGGACACTCTGATTAGGGAGTGATGTAAACCCCCACCCTGGCCTGCATCATCCCGGGCTTTTTGCCACTCACTGCTCAAGGGGAGGGAGTGTTGCCAGCCCCCAGGCCCTAGCTAGCACTCTGAGGCAAAGTGGGGTGTGGACTGCATGCATTTGTTGATAATACTGAGCTTTTCATTCTCCCTCTCCCTGCTTCTTCATACTTTCTGGAAATCTGATGGGTGAGGGAGCCAGCAGGGGGCTGATAACACAGCATTTATCAGCCCATCAACAAAACAAAAGCTTCTCTCATTAGTTCAAGCTCTTCTTAACCAGCTTTTTTCAAGGAAGGAATGGAGGGACATTACCAGCTGAACTGTCGATTAGCTCAAAAAAACTCTAAGCGGACATTGTTCTGTCTGCTTGTCCCAGTGAAATTGGACACACACACACACACCTCTCAGCATTAGCTAGCATACCACAGATCTAGGGTCCATGGGGCTGGGATCTGTGCAGTGAGAAATGGGAGGGTGGGAGGGGGAGGGTCCCTGCTTAAGCAGAAAGCAGTGAGTTGGGGGTGGAGGGCAGGGGGAAGCCGGGCAGATCCCACTGTCCCTACAGTCTTTGCCAGAGGTCTGGCTAGGGAGCAG